CTTAAAGGATCATGGAACTTAGTAACTAGGACTATAATGAGGGTAACCATCCTTATAACCCCAATTAAAGGGACTTATAACCTTACTTACTAAGTCCCATGATCCTCCAAGTATACTCTATGGCAGTTTCAGCAAATATGTGACGCCCAGATGGGGGTTTCAGAAGATAGGGGAACCTAATATAGTACCCTAAATAGCAGGATCCCTATTATAAGGACCCCCCAAATAGGGTACCCTAACATTCGGAAACTCCCAGAAGGATTCCTGAGAGAGGGATGGCTCCGCTCCTCATCAAAGGGCCCAGACCTCCATGTGGCGCTGGGTGCAAGTGACCACCCGAAACCCAATACACCCCCAATAAGGGATACCTGCCTGGTAACCTCAGTCACCCGGCTATCTCTGAATCCAAGGAAGTGTGTGGTAAGTGCATATCTTTGCGCAACCTGTTGCAGATGAAACCCCTGCAGCCCGTCCAAAACCCAAAGAAGCTGATCCACACCCTAAACCCTAAACCCTAAACCTTAAGCCCTAAACCCTAAACCCTAAGCCCTAAACCCTAAACCCAAAGCCTTAAGCCCTAAAACCTAAACCCCAACCTCAATGGCTCCCAGCTCTACAGCTTCCGGCTCCCCGAGCCCCAAGACTTCGAGAGACCCCAAAAGACCCTAAAGACCCTAAAAAGCCCTAAAAGACCCCAAAAAACCCTAAAAGACCCAAAAGACCCTAAAAACCCTAAAGACCCCAAAAAACCCTAAAGACCCTCAAGACCCTAAAAGACCCTAAAGACCCTAAAAACCCTAGAGACCCCATAACCCTAAACCCAAAAACCTTAAATCTTAAACCCTAAACCCTAAACCCCTAAACCCCAAACCCCAAATCTTAAACCCTAAGCCCTCAACCCTAAACCCTAAAACCATCTCTAATCCCCAGGAGCGCTCCGTGGCTCTCCAGTGCTTCACCTGGATCTTCGAGCGCGCCTACCGTCAGATGCAGCTGCGCACTCTGGGCCCCTTGGGGAGGAACAGGAGGGGAGGCGCTTTTTCGGGGGTTTATAGGGTTTAGGGTTAAGGGTTTATAGGGTTTTAGGGTTTTAGGGTTTTAGGGTTTTAAGGGTTTAGGGTTTAGGGTTTAGGGTTGAGGGAAAAAGACATGAAGAGCTCCTTGTAGTCCTGGTACCGAAGCTCTTAAGATTCAGAGCAGGGGTTTTGGGTGTACTATATTACAGTAGAGTAGCAATAAAGGGGAGCCCTATCGAATAGCATTAGGAAGCATTCCGTCCCTTTTTTTCGAGCGCAGGGGTTTCAGAATCCAAGGCCTTACGGCAAAGCTCTCTGGGTGCGGGTGCGGTAGAGTAGGTTGATGTGCACTTTTTGAGTGTGGTTTCCGTATAGGTAGGGCTTCAGAGGAACTTGCATTGTATGACAGGTTGGGGCGAAGATTGGGGCCTAAATAATTACCTACACTATTTTGGGGGGTTCCTTTTTATCATTATGGTATGATGTACCCCCCAAAACCCTACTCTAATGATCAAGGCCCCTACAGTAGCACTTATTGAAGCTTCGGGGCCTGGGGCATTCGAGGACGAAGAGGTCTCGAGACTCGTTGGCCGTGGCAGCTCTTCATAGTTGCCCCAAACCCCCAAAACCCGAAACCCCTTATTAGAAGAACCCTTATAGATCCCTTTTGGATCCCTTTTGGGAACTCTTAAAGGATTCCCCTTAAAACCCTCTAGAAGAACCCTTATAGATCCCTTTTGGATCCCTTTTGGGAACTCTTAAAGGATTCCCCTTAAAACCCTCTAGAAGAACCCTTATAGATCCCGTTTAGATGCCTTATGGGAACCCTTAAAGGAATCCCTGCAAAACCCCCACACCCTGGCATCTTAAAGGTCGGGGGGGGCTTTGCCAGATCTAGCTCCGGCCCAAAGCCTCAAGCAAGACGTTTAGGGTTTAGGGTTTAGGGTTTAGGGTTTAGGGTTTAGAGTTTAGGGTTTAGGGTTTAGGGTTTAGGGTTTACGGTCTCAAGGTGGCCGAGGATGGTATTTGGCGGATGAGGGCCAGGCAACTCTCCCTGCAATCGATGGGCTTACATGTGCTCCGTCGCTCTCTGTGGGCATAGGTTCTGGGCGTTCAACGGTATTCATGACGGCTCTTCAGTGGCTTCTGGGTTGAAAAGGGAGACTTCGTCAGAACTTGTTGGATTTGGGCTTGAGGGTATTCAGGTCTGAAGGTTTGCGCTTCGGAGGGCGCATGTTCAGCCGTGGTTTACCCTCAATGAGGGCCCTTCAGAGGTCCTGAAGTCAAGTCCCGCCATTTTGGGGATCCTTGACCATCGTGTCTTGGACTTAGGGTGCCAGGGCTTGTTGGTAGGGTTCTCCAGGATGATAGAGTTTTCGAGGTTTTTTGTCTCAGACTCCAAATGCTGCGACAGGTTCTTTCGGTTGATCCACCGGAGACCTCTCTCGCTGCTAGGCTTTGAACATGACGGGGATCCTGCTGTTGGAATCTGGGCCATTCTGGGGCTGTTGGCACATATTTTGCTTTGGTGTTTACTGCAGGGTCTAGATGTAGGATTTGCGGGGTTTTCCAGTGAGGTGGGATGAGGTTCTCTTACTGGGAGTGCGCTGCCGGGCTCAGCTGATCCTCAGGACCAGTACTACCTCATCACGGCCATACCCATTATCATGCGATCCTGATGATGCTACAATTACTGGTTACACACAGGCTAACAGTTCTCATGATTGCAGTCATTACGACAACTGAGTTGATATAATTTTGATCAGCGGTCAGCAAAGAGGTGGAAGTCATGATGGTCGGAACGACATGAATTCTCAGAATAGCCGTAGCACTGGGATGAAGGGATATCGTTATCACTTGCAGTCAGGAAGACAAATATGCTGTCAGCGCAGCGCGTAATTCCAGCCTACAAAATCGGGTGTGGAGCACGGTCCATCACTGACGAAGGTAGATGCCAGTCCCCAAAGCGTCTTCCCTGAAGCATTAAGCCTTAAGTTTCGTTGTTATACAAAAAGCCTTATACTTGGAAGGTCCGATCTATGGAGACAATATACCCTAAACCCTAAACCCTGAACCATTAAGCCTTAAGTTCCGTTGTTTTGCAAAAGGCCTTCATACTTTAAGGCTTTTTAAGGCCTGCGCAGACTCAACCCTAAACCCTAAACCCTAAACCCCAAACCCTAAACCCTCAACCCTAACCCTAAACCCCAAATCCTGATTGAGTATCATGGTGCCCCCCGAGGGCCTTCCTTCGCTCGCTCCCCGCGTCTTCCTTTACAAAGGCCCGGCCTGGGTTACGCCTCAGAGGGTTCAGGGTTTAGGGTTTAGGGTTTAAGGTTTAAGGTTTAGGGCCTAGGGAATTAGGGTCTAGGGTTTAGGGGTTGAGGGGTTTGGGGGTTGAGGGGTTGAGGGGTTTAGGGTTTAGGGGTTCAGGGTTTAGGGTTTAGGGCTTTAGGGGTTTAGAAGTTTAGGGTTTGGGGTTGAGGGTTTATGGTTGCTTGGTGGCGGGCGGTAATCGTCAGCATTGGTGTCACATCGCGACTTGATGTCCCCCCTCTTTGCCATCTTTTTCTCGCGCCAGGGCCTGACATGGATCGAAGGTTGACATCGTTCCACAGTCTCCAGAACCAGCGTGGAGCATGTTGAGCAGCTTCTGTGCGCATTATGTTGTATATGAGAGAGAGAGAGAGATGTATATATATATATAATAGGTGTATCTAGGTGATAATCTTTCTAAGTGTCCTATGCAGACGCTCTCGGGGGCATGCCGTACAGGCTTTGCAGCCGCCTCCGCGTACGTGGCACGTGGGCCGTGTCTGAAGGCCCACTGCTTGTGGGACTTCAAGCCGTTGAGGTTCGAGACTAGAGGTTTCGATAGTCTGACTAATATAGGGGCCTGAATAACTATACCTGAATTTTTTTTGGGGGGGTTCCTTATTATAAATATATAGTGTAATATACCCCAAGACCCTATTCTAATTATCAAGGCCCCTATATTAGAGTGTTTCCGAATGAGGTGCCTACGCAGCGGTTTCCAATTCAAGACTGCACCTTACAGCGATTAAAGTCTGCCTGGCTTTTCGGGCTAGGTGGACATTTCCGTCCGCCTCATCCAGGGCCAGACGGTGGCTGGGCTTTTTGGGGTTTAGGGTTTAGGGTTTAGGGGTCTTTGAGCCAATGCCTAGATCCTGGCATGACTGTAGAGCCCTAACCCTGTACCCCAAACCCCGAGCCGCGTGGACGGGGCTTCGAGCCCCAAAGGAATGTTCCCATATTGTTTTTTTCTTCAGGAATAATTGTTGTAGTAACAATAAAAGCCATTATACAAAGGAATAATATTGATGATAATAACGATAATACAAGTAATAATGAGGCAAGTAGTAATCAAAGTCATAATTATAACCATACTCCTAATCATAATGATAATCATATTACATATGCGTGAGTAATAAACAATAGTAATATTGATAATAGCATTATTCATTTTTAAAAAGTAATTGTGTTCGTCGTCGTCGTCGTCGAAGAAGTAGTAGTGGTAGTGGTAGTAGTGGTAGTAGTGGTGGTGGTGGTAATAGTAGTAGTAGTAGTAGTAGTAGTAGTAGTAGTAGTAGTTTGTAGGAGCCTGCAGAATCAGAATGGGGGTTTGGTGCTAATCATATAGGGACCATCAAGATTATTTCTGTGTGATCATATAGGGACTGCAGGGGTACTTTTGCGTATCGTTCGAACCCAAAGCACATCCTAAGGTGCTGGACACGTTGAGCCATTTTCGAGACTGCCTGAGACCCCCGTTTGCAGCAAAGAGAACGACTCCCATGCAGGGTTTAGGGTTTAGGGTTTAGGGTTTAGGGGATCCTTTGAGTGGGTTTTGGATGATCACTGGGTCGACAATGAGTCTTATCCGTTAAGGGCTTAGGGTTGATCGGAATCTCGGCTTCGTGGTTTGTGGGATCTCCAGGGCCCGATAAATCCTGGCCTCGTGACATCGCTTCTGCCTACAAGTCTCAAGTTTCGCCGCATATATGAGCAAAACATGCACACACATGCACATACATACATACATACATACATACATACATACATACATACATACATACAGGCATACATACATGCATGCATGCATGCATGCATGCATGCATGCATGCATGTCCGAAGCCAAGCCAAACGGGCATTGTGACACTGACTGAGGACAGCACTACCAGCAGACCTACTCGAGGGAGCCAAGCAAGGACGCCATTATGCTTCGAGCCTGTGAATGTCTTGCAGCCAGAAACCCCAACGATTTCGGGCCTCACGCAACTTTGCAGGGTGCCACACTGCCTAAGGACTACTCGAGCCTTGAGCTGTACAAGTCTTACAGTCCCGAAGCGTGCAATGTGTTGTGGCCATGGAAGTTGAGCCGCTCAGTGGCAGGACGCGCAATGTCATAGCACACTGCAAGCAAGAGAGATTGAACTTCGAGTGCAGAGTGCAGAGTGCAAATCAAAGACTACGCCTAAACCCTGAGCAAGCAGAGAGCGGCCCCGAAATACACCAGAACCCGAAAGCCCGACAACCCCAAAGCTCTGAAGTTTTAAAGTCATTCCGGAAAATTTACAAAGCCTAAAACCCGGAGCCCTTCAGTTCCCTCAGAGCATCTCAGACTTCGGAGGAGGAGATGGATGGATTTCTGCAGAGGCAGATCGCCGGACGCACCTGCATGAGCCGGCCGGCTTCCCAGCAGCCCAGAGACTCCAATATCCTTTAAGTAAGGAATATACCTTAAATCATATTAAGGAGCCTACTATAATTTAAGGAATATCCCTGAATTAAGGAATATACTGTAAATCATATTACGGATCCTACTATAACTTCAGGAATATTCCTTAATTAAGGGGTATTGAAGTCTCTGGGAGTAGGATTTCCTTGTCGGTGGTGGTGCTGGCGAGGGGGGGGCGGGGTGGGGGGTTCAGGTTGTTTTTGTGTTAAGAGGTTTGGTGGAGGGGGAACTGGGGTTCGAGGGTGAAGGTTGAGTTCAGGTCAGGGTTCGCGTTTTGGGGTCGTTGTGGGGGTTTGGGGTGTTTGCGCTTTGGGATGTTTCGCATTGAAGTTGTTGTAGGGGTCAGCGTGTTTCAGGTTTCAGGGAACCTTCGGCTCAGGCGCGGGCTCAAGAGCGCAAGCCCAGAGCTTACTCCCTGATGACAGAGGAGAGTTAGAATAACGGCACATTCATTATCAATATATATATATATTATTTTATTGTTTATACTTATACATTTTTATATAATTTACATTAAGCTTTGCTGCTCCGGGTCCTCTTGATTATGGTAAGGGTATAGGCTTCAGGACGGACTGCGGCTTGGTTATAATATGCCGCAGGGGCTCCTAGCAAAGGAGGTCTTAGAGTCAAGACTTGGCGAGGCACAATCAAATCCACTACCGCATCCAGAAGGTGTGCATTGCTTCTTGGCCTCTACATCCGAGGGCAGAGGAGATGTGCTCTCCAGGTCTCCCTCTGCCCTCTAAGTTAGGGTTTAGGGTTTAGGGTTTAGGGTTTAGGGCCTCTAACCCTCAACTTTCGACCCTCGCCTTTCGTGGACTCTTGCGAACCCCACGAGGCCCCAATCTTTCGCTGGGCCACGGCCCTTTGTTCCGACTTTGGAAAGTCGTCCCATCTCCGGACGTAATGCCTCAATCCGAAGCAAAAAAGCGACCTAGGCTCCTCTCCCTGAACAGACCGAGGCCTAAATAATTACCTATACTATCTTGGGGGGTTCCTGACTATAACTCTAAACTAATATACCCCAAAACCCTCTTCTAACCACTAAGGCCCCTATAGCACGTATGTCGCCCTGCTGGTAAGTTAGGTTGAACCTCGGAGCACGATCTGCAAAGGGTGTTATAGTTAACGTCTGATGGGAGTTCAGGAAGCCAACTGCTGTGTCGACAGCCGCACTTGATCTCCATGCAGCGAAGCCCCAAAATCCGAAATGCTGTAATCGACCTGCAGATCAAGGACAAGGACCCGAGTTCCACGTTTCCCTTCGAGGATGGCGAGATCACGTATCTGGAGAGCTGCGGGGCGGGGGTTGTCAGACACCATGGTATGTAAGTCAGCGGCTACGGCTATAGGAAATTTCGCAGGAATGACAACGATTTCACAGAGTTCGACAATACTGCGTCGCCAAAGCAATGGCAACGACCTCCAACAATCACACCCGTGGTAGCCAATGTCGTAAATGCAAAAACTAGAACTCTACTTGGATGATCGTGGGACTTAGTAAGTAGGGTTATAAGTACCCTAACTGGGTATCTAAGTATAGTTACCTTGTCTATAACCTCAGTTACTAAGTCCCATGATCCTGTAAGTACGAACCCTAAACCCTAAACCCTAAACCCTACGACGCTTAGGATTAAGGGCCCCTTGGATGCCGTCATCCCGGCGGGGCATCATACCGACCCGAAGTTATTTCAACGTATAAAGTCTCCGTCATCCCTTTGATTTGCGCAAAACCGGTAGGGTACGAACATACGTGTGCGTATCCCGATCTGTTTATCTAGATAGGTAGATAGATGGATCTATCTATCTATCCGTCTATCTATCCATCTGTCTGTCTGTCTGTCTGTCTATCTATCTATCTATCTATCTATCTATCTAATCTATCTAATCTATCTAATCT